AAAACGGATGAACTTGGTATTAATGCGAAACTACACCATCCAACATTTATGATTATTTCTTGTTAAATAAATTATTTCAACTCCCATCAGTTGGAAATCACCAAAACACTTGGTGATTGCCAGTAAAGGGGAACAGTTCAGAAATAAATAAGCTCTTCAAACCACAGAAAATTGTTACCAAGACCCTGACTCCTAACTGTATGGGAATTGGTTAAGTAACTTAACATGAACAACTGTGAAAACAGAAAGATACTAGAAAGGCAAATAGTAAGCAAACACAAGACTCCATTTAAAGGAGCAGATGATTTTACGGAACACAAAAAAAGTAAGAAGGATGGTTTTATCTAAAAAAATCGTTTTTTAAGGAAAAATTTGACTTCACCAGCATGAATATAATACATTACTCCACGAAATAACACACAAGCATTAGCAATATTTAAGGAAACCAAAAAAAGAGGAAAAATTTGCCACAACTAAGATCTGAATACTCCATTGCCTTGTTCCATTGAAAGCATTAACGCAAGACAATTGTAGGAAACATGCACAAAGTATAGAATAAGAGCAAATTCATGTGCTGGAATAACGCACTCGCTATATTGAAAAATGCAACTACAGGATATACAAACACAGGCTGAAAGAATTCGATTACCTGTGCTGCAACGGTATGTGAACGAGTAGGAAATAGCTTGGTAATGCAAGCTGTGTTGAATCCATGCTCCGATAATCCTATCGCAGCCCTCAGCCCAGCACCTCCTGCACCCACCACGACTGCATCGTATGTGTGATCCACCACTGTATAGGATGGCGCTGCATCATTCTATTCAAACCCAATAGGATTAATAAATAAAGACAATTAATAACGAAAATAAAAACGCATCAAATTTAAAACACGGATAATTCAGCACTTTAGAAAATCGAAACCCAAATACATCAATAAGATCAGAAAACAAAAATCAAAAGATCAACAGCCACAGTCACGGAACCCCATGATTTTCGTCTCATGAACAAACATATTCAATTTCAAAGACCTAGTCCCATCAAGCTAACAAAAACAATCAAAATCAACCAATTAGACGAAAAACCAAACCAAATCAAATCAAATCAAATCGAAGCACACAGGCAACAACTTTTCGAGATGAGCTCGTCGCAGATGCAAATTAAACTGGAATCTCGTAAATTAATTAAGAAGAAGAAAAAAAATTGAAATAGAGAGGCGGAGGAGTCGAACCGATTGAGTCGAGAAGAGGCGGCGGATGGAGTCGGCGGATGTGGATTTCCTCGACGGAATGCGGAGGCCACGGGACACGCACCGCCACATCTCTATATAGATTAAATATATATACAGGTGTATCTATCGATTGTGTATGTCAATGTTGATATGGTGTGTGTGTGTGTGTGTGGAGAATGTGTGAAGGCTCGGTCGAATGGGAATGGAGAAAATTGAAGATACAGAAGAAGAAGAAGAAGAAAAGAAAAGGGGAAATTTTGGCTAAAGAGATTTTGCTTTGCCAAAAGGTGATTTTAATATAATCACGAGTTTGTTGAATTTGCACCTGGTTTGTTAGCTTAAATACACTTATGCCATTCAACGAATATTATTGTGTAAATGAATATTTAGAGTTTTATTTGTCATAAATTAATTGAATTTTGATTGTTCCTATATATTTTATTTATTTTAATTAGTTTAAATATTCCATAGAAGCATATTGATATGTGGAATATTAGAGTTAATCTCAAATTTATTAGACATCATTTTTTTAATTACAGATGTACCCATATTACTCTGAATATGTCATTACGAACAGGTGTTTGGTTAAGCTTATAAACAATTAAAAAATAACTTATAAAATGTTTTGGAGCTCATAAGTTCTTTGAAGTGTTTGTATTTTGTCATAAAAATCTTAGAAATTCAAAAAGCTCATTTAGAATTAATAACATTTTCTTTAAAACTACTTATACCTCACATTTTTATTTAAATCTAAAAAAAAGAATAAAAACAACGTATCATCTTCGTAGTAGTGTTTGGTGAGTGATTGGATGTTCGAATGTCTACGAAAAAATGTAACATATAACATTGTCATTATTTATAGCAATTATAGAGGGTGTTTTGCTAAGTTTATGAATTGTTAAAAAAAAATATTTGAAAAGCTTATAAATTCTTTCGCAGTATTTGATAATTATTTTCTTGCAAAAGATCGTAAAAGTAAAACAAAAAAACAAATGAGAAGAGCTTTTAATTTACATTTTTTAAAGTACTTCTACCACATTTTTTTATCTAAGATCTTATAATGAATAAAAATAATTTATACAAGTACATTATTCAAACAATAAAAAAATTAATTCGAAAAATAAGACATAACAACATATCAACGTAAAAGAGACGTAAGTCGCATGTAGTTTTTCAAGGGTCCGACTGTGATTACTAGAATACGAAAAGGAAAAAAAAAAAAAAGTTTATCCAGAACATTATTTTCCTAGAAAAATTAGGTGATTTGGTCAACGGGGGCAATTAATATAGAGACGGTTTTGGAGAGAAAAGGATTCGGTGGAATTGAGAACCGGACAAAAAGTAATGGTGGAGGAATGGACGCGCTCACAATTTCCACCCACGACGGAACCCTAGCTGCTCTTGCCACGTAGCTCATGGCCCCTCCACTATTTTCCAGGAGCAAAACAATTTCTTTTCCTACTCCACAAACTACACAATTACATAATTACCCTTCTTTTACCAACTTAAAACATTTTCACGTAACGATGCAATAAAATATTTGCTTCTCAATTTTAATTAGGGTAAATTACACCCACACATCTGAGGTATACTTACCCTTCTTTTACCAACTTAAAACATTTTCACGTAACGATGCAATAAAATTTTGCTTCTCAATTTTAATTAGGGTAAATTACACCCACACATATGAGGTATACTTAACGGACTATTGGTTTCAGGAAGTGGTGAAGACAACAAAGAGTTATGAGTGATTTAAGAAATATTGGGGGAGCCATGTCACCTCATAACTCCCCATAACTCTATGTTATCTCCATAACTAGCTACAAGTAATAATCCATTAGAACTCTATCGGAATAATGTATCCAATGCATTATCCCGTTAGAGTTTTTAACTACCTTTCAGGGGGTGAGTGTAATTATCGATACCACAGGGACCTTACAGTTATTTAAGCATACATCAGGGGTGTGGGTGTAATTTACCCTTTTAATTATATAGTTTGAGTTATTTTGGTGGATTGAAAATTCATTTATGATTAATTTTTAAGTTGTTTAAAAGAAGTCCATGTTCTATAGGAATCTTTGGAGCCAAATATTACACCCGGTTATTAACACCGACTCATCTACAGTTAACAAAAATCCGTTGTAAATAAACCAGTGTAGTGTATAACTTCCCAAAGTTGTGTGTTAAAATTTAAAACATTAAAACCTAAAGTTCAATATTTTAACATAAAATATTCAACCGACTTACTCTCTTGAATTTTTCAACAAAATAAGAAAAAAAAAAAAAAAGAGAAAAAAAAAAAAAGAATAGTACTAAAAAAGCAGCATCTAGTATCATTTATCATACTCTCACTACTAATATTTGTTCGAAACGAATTGTACGATTCTAACCACCACAATCGTTTCCATATCTAAACCACCGATATTTCGGTTGCCATCCAAACAAGTTTCTTTAGAAAACGAAAATACTAAGACATGAACTCAAATCCGATAGTCAAAAATCTCATGTTAGAAGCCAGAAACATATATACCAATTATCTGCCCAAACAGTCAATATGCTAACTTTTTTTATATAGTAGATCAATATACTTCTTATAGCAAGGGTTGTCAAATTGTACAATAACCCTTCATACCATTTTCTAAATTTTCCAAGACGCAGTTGAAAGTACGTTAATGCCCCTGCGTGTTGCCTATTTTCTTACCATTCCATTCACATGGATAGAGGTAGCTGCATTCTTCCATCGCCCCTCCTTGATAAGTACTTTCGAGCGGATCTCAAACGAATAGGGATAAGGATGCCGATGAAGAAAATAACGAGGGCAATCCATTTATGGTTTAGGTAATAGACAAGATACGATGAAAGCATAAACATTGTGAAGATGAAGGCCCATAACAGAGCAACAATAACTTCAACCCTGCATAAAGAAAAAGAAAAGAAACGATAAATATTTCAAAATATAGCAATATTTTGACTATAAATAAATACACTACACGACAAAGTTTGATGATCTAAGGAATGCCCAAATTTTCTATTTTGCCGTAGACTAAAATTGATTTTCTAACTAATCGGATTTTTTGTTTGTGACGAATTGGAGATACTTAATTTCACTCAAATTTGGCTACTATTGACTTCACCGGGCAGTAGAGACTAGAGATATAATCTGATAAATAAGCATATTGTACTTAACAGAAATTCTTGATCATTTATCTGCCATTTCAGAAATTGATTTCGTTTCCATACTGAAGATTGTCGAGAGTGCAGGAAAATCAGAAGCTTCACTACCTTGACTTAACATCTGTTGACTTCTACTAAAACTACATCATCGTGTTGTACATGCACATGTATATTTGTTGAACTTTACTACACGGAGTCCATCAGAAGAGTCTGTTATTCAGATATGACTTACAAGTAAACATTAAACTCGACTCCGCCCAAAATTCGAATGCACAGACAGAAGGAATATTTGAAATTAGAATCAGATATGTTGACAGAGCAGATACACAATTTTACAAGTTACTATGATAGTGCATACCATTATAACCCCGACTAAAATATCTTGTCTGCACGAAATTCTTATTTAATCTTCAGTTTCTTTCTTTCTCTTAAATGAAGCTACCACATCTGAAATCCCTCGTACTTTGAATACATGCAGACAGGGCGCTCAAAATATAGACTGACAAAAGAAATGTGTTGTTTGTTTCAGGTAGTATCTGTTTACTACGGATCCCAGAAATCATCTATTTCACAATCAAATAGTATTATTCTCTAAAGTCCATGAATATTGCTGTAGATACACGAGACAGTGGGTTTCGAGGATTTTTTTTTAAAGCAAAAACACAAAGAAAAAGTGACTGAAAGTGTGTTGAAAATCCACGAATCGAATTAAACCCATGAAAAAATGACAAAAAGTGTAACTCAAAGTGCACACATAACATGAATTTAAGAGATAGAATCGAATCAAGTTCAAAAGTTAAAAATGCAGATAATCTTATTTTAGATTAAAAAAAAAGCGATTGACATTATGTATCGTACTGTTGCGTTATTGCAAATAGATATAGACTCTTAAAAGTATGTAAGCATATGTTTCATCTAACGAATGAATGGATGCAACGGCACTCTGCGTGTATAAGCAACTTCACAAATCACGTGATTTCGAAGGTTAACAAAACCTAACCATTATATTAATTACACTTCAAATAGTTTAATCGCCCCGTGGACCAACTAAGCAGTCAAGCCAACCTCTATTTAAATACGCTTGTATTCAATCTACATTTTCAAGAAAACCTAAAATTCAAGAGATCGACTAACAAAGAATGAACACAAATTTAAAACTCAATGTGAATACGATACCACGTCATAATACGATATACACAACACAAGTTCTTTCTAGCACACACTTCAAAAACAATTTCTACAAATCAATAAGATACCTGAGAATTTCAACAACATAATATATAACTCAAAATGCAAATTCTAACCTAATTTTCGTAATCAGTAACCAAAACCTAATTAACATTCGGAAAAAGAAAAAAAAATAAGGAACAAGAAGGCATACCAGGTGGAGATATAGGGTCTGTGCGAGAAGAGACCGAGTAAGGACCACTTATTGTGGTTTCTGATCTGATGATCCCTGAGTTTCTCCACGAGTGTCGACCGAGTTATCACCGAGTCGCCCATCTGAATCGGAAACCTGGCAAAACGCAAATTGAATTTAAAAACACGATCAAAAACAAAACGCAGCGGATTCTATACGTGAAATGCGGATAGAATTTCGGTTGATGCGGAGCTGAACATACGTAAATGGAGATTTCTATTTTGGGGGAATTTTTTACTTCGATTTGAATCTTGTAGAACTAGGGATTTTTGCGGAAGACGCTCATTGATTTTTTGCTGATGAATTGGAGAAGGGTTTCAGTTGTTATAGGGAGCTACACTACTTAATTTGTTTTTGTCGAAAATATATATATGAAAAAATAAATTACTATTATTTATTGGACGAAATATAATATACTTTGGCACTACAATAGGAATCATTAGTTACTAGTTAGTTATGCAAACAAGCATTATTTTTGAATTAGAGGATCAATCATATGTTACTTCCAGTGAAATAACTAGGGATGGTAATGGGGTGCGTATGGGGATTTTTTTAATACTCGTGGGAATTTTTGACGGGATGGGGATTTCCATAGTGGGGCAAGGATGGGATTGCAAAACCCGCCCCATTGTCATCCCTAGTTATTTCACTGGAAGTAACATCTGCGAAACCGAATTAGATTTTAAGTTTTAAAGGGAAGTCTAGATTTAATTTTGCCGCCTATAATCAGTGCCATGAATAACGTTTTGCAACTTGCAATTTTCGCAACTAAACAAGGATTAGTATTATTTTATACCATTATTTGTTATTTTGAAGCTAATATCAATAATCCGATGTCGTCCAGCGGTTAGGATATCTGGCTTTCACCCAGGGGACCCGGGTTCGATTCCCGGCATCGGAATTTTTTGCTAATTCAGATCCAGCTGGGCCAAATAAATTAAGTCCATTTTTTTTTTTTTTTTTATCCTTATTATTTCTTATTTAGCAAAATTTTATTATCAACGCAAACTGCAAGCACACTGGCCCAACTAAATTGGCTTCATATTTCTTTTTTACCTTTTTCTTAAACAAACAATATTTTTTTTTAAATTATTGAATTCAAAGTTTTTTTTTATATACAATTTTGATCTCATTAAGCAAACTCGTTTTGTGTAAAAATGCAGTTTTTGATGCAACACATCTGGAGCTCGAATGTAATAAAATGAATACAATTTTTTAATATTCCATGTAATCTAAAATATTCTTCCAATAAATTTGTCACAACAAGGGTAGACTATAAGAAGATTCATAATTAAGTGTGATTGTAATTACTCAAACATTAATGTTTTTTGATAAATTAACCTTACCTTACTTAAAGAATGATAGTCACTAATTCCTCAATCACCCATCCAAATATGAAATTGTTCTAAAGAAATAGTAGAAAGTAGTGACGAGAAAGACTAAAAGGCCACAAATCAGAGCACCTGACTTTTTCAATGGCAGATCCATACAAAAATAAGCTCATTTAACAATCTTACAGCTTACAACAAAAATCTATTACAATCAATGTCTTAAATACTAATCTTAAAACACCCCATAATATGTTGACTTTGCCAAACTTCTCCAATAGCCAATCCAAATAGAGATAGATAATAACCATTCCTCTCCAGATATTACATACAAAAAATGAGAGGAACAAACCAATGAGAGCTCAAAAATAACAACAAAAACGATGCCGACGCCTTTCGAAATAGCATGTCGTTTGTTTTTTTAGCTGTTGAGAGTAGAGAGCATTCCTCCGGTAGCAGTAGGAATAACAACCTCCCAACCAGGTCCTTTTAGAGGAAGCACACTTTTTTGTTTCGACTCGACTGAATTAACGATGAGGTCACTACGGTCCAAAACTATTTCAAGATCTTCGTCGCTGATATCAGTCTGTATCAATTTGTCCTCTTCGTTGTCTTCGTCACGAAGAAGTGCTAGCAATTCCTCTTCCTAGAAAAAAAAAATATAAAATTAAATTCATGTAAATACGAGCATGAGCCAGTTTTAGGTGTAAGAGATGCAATCGGAAGTCGAGGAAATGAAGAACATTGTTTAGGTATTAAAGAATAATAAACGAATACCTACCCCAAAGTACTGAATACTTAAATAACAAACTATGAAGCACGAAAAATAAAACATTAGAAAGGAGGAAATTGTACTTACCGACATAGTTTCTATTCCCTCAGTCTTGGACCTCTCCTGCTTAAACTGTCCCTTTCCAATTACCACATGTTCGAGCTTCAACTTGCTAAAAGCTCTTTTCAGAATTCGACCCTGCAAGTACAATGTGTTTTTTCTTCAGTGATATTGAGTGGAAACAAGAACAGTGTGTGTGTGTGTGTGTGTGTGTGTGTGTGTGTGTGTGTGTGTGTGTGTGTGTGTGTGTGTGTGTGTGTGTGAGAGAGAGAGAGAGAGAGAGGGGGAGGGAGGGAGGGGAATGTCACTTATGAATACCTCAACAGACTGAGCAGTGGCTAGCCTGTAAACATGAACAGGTTTCGTTTGACCGATTCTGTGACACCTGTCCATTGCCTGTAAATCCATCTGAGGATTCTGTGGAATGCCAATTGCAATTTGATTAATATCGAGACCAAAGGTATTTATACATTGTTCATGCGTTCTTTAGCTTTTAGAGAGACATGAATACAGAAAGTTGAGAAAAATACCCAGTCACTGTCGTACAAAATGCAGGTATCAGCTGCAGTAAGATTAATACCGAGCCCACCAGCACGGGTGCTAAGGAGAAAGATTCTGTAACTACTGTCCACGTCATTGAATTCCTGTATCTGTTCGTTATTTCATTACATAAAGTAAGGTCAGATAAGTTTGTACAATATAAGGTCCAACATCATGATATTTTTTCGTGAGTCGATTCAGAACCGAATCCATATTTAACTGATGTCAATTAGAAAGATAATTACATGCACAGAGGTAAAAACACTAAACATGGTCACGGCCATCATTAAGATTTGGAATATGGAACTTGAATTTGATCGGGAAAAAATAAATCGTAGGAGCTGTAAATATTAGAACCAATAAGGAACCGAAAAAGAGCAAACAAAAATTCTACCAAAAAAAAAAAAACAACGTACCTGTCGTTTTCTTTCTGACAATTTAACATTGCCATCAATTCTGCAGACTTCAAGACCCTTTTCACTAAAATAGTACTCCATTATATCCAAGATCTTCGTCCATTGAGAAAATACCAAAACCTGTTATCCCAGATACAGTAAAAGGTTAGACAAACGAACAAGTAATAACATTTTGCATTTTCAAATTCATTTTCATACGAAGGAAGAAGTTTGAGTACTTTGTGCTTGCGAGCAAACAGCTTAGTTAATAATCTATCCAGTAACTGAAATTTGCCACACTGCTCAACTATCTGATCCACAGGCGGATAAAAATCTGCCAAAGAATACAGGACAGTAAACGATTAGGAAGGAGTTTAATCAATTTTATTTAGTTTAATATTGGGTGGGAGATAGCATACAGGAACCATCAAATGCAGACTCCAACAGATCGGGATGGTTGCAGTTCTTACGAAGCTGAATCATCAAATTGTTGAGCTTTCCTCTCATACCATAAGCTGCAAATTTCACAAAGTCAGTCATGCAGTTTGATAATATGTTTCCGAAATATTGATTTGTATAACCGTGTCAGAATGAACATCCACATGCTACATAAATGAAGTCGAGAAAGAAAAGAAAAGTACAGATAACCACATAGCATTGAGCAATTCATATTCAGTAAATTTTTAAACAGAACAAACACCCGAACAAAACACTAGGCAATATATATGCCAACGAAAATCATACCGGTCGAATTCTATCTCAAAATCACCTAGAAAACTTAAAAAAGGAAATATAGTGATAATTACCATAATTAGTTTTCTCAATGAGGTGACCCTCCAGTGTCCTATTAATAAGATGTTCCTGGAAGTTTTTCTGATACACAGTTGATGTTGCATACAAGATAATCTCTTTCTTACGAGGGAGCAATTGTTCCACATCTGCTTTCAATCTGCGTAGCAGAAATGGTCGCAATATAGAATGGAGTTTGGCCACTACCTACATATTGATGAAACGCCGATTATGAAAAATAAGCATCAAATAACAGTAGCCTGTGGCAGCACATTCCTGTCATTATTAGATTACCTGTGCCCTTCTTTTCTCTTCCATTTCTTCCTTGAGGGCTTCATTAGCACACTTCCCTGAAAAATCGAACCTGAAAGACCCATACACCAAATAAATTAGTGATAAAAAAGTAACAAACTTCATTCAGACGATATAAATACCACTTAATGGATTACATCAATACTCGTTACTACTAAAATTAATATTATCTCCCAAAAAAAAACCCAGTACTTATTCAATCTTGCCAGACACAATTTACCCTTCGCAATCTGTTTGCACAGAAACTAATTCCACTATTCGTAACTAAAACTCTCTACAGAAAAAATCTATGGAAGTTAGAAGCAAAGAATAATTGCAAAACTCATTGGAGTGGTACAAGCAAAACCACCCTAGTTTCTTTTTCGGAATAAAAATCCCCTGGTTTCTTTTCGGTGCAAGCAAAAAAATTATATTTATAAATTTATATAAATATGTAAGTATACACTTTTGATATGAAGATAATTACAATGCCCACAAACTCAAATATCTAACTACTAAAAAATGCAGTCAACTGCTAAAAGTGTGAAGCACATGCTCGAACGTGAGATGAATAGTAACCAACACGAGACATGAATTTCATTACAATTGTTCAAACTATAAATGACAAAAAAACCACTGATATTAATAAAGTAATACCTCAATCAAAAAGTATTTAACAATTAAAAGTCCATTACCATGACTCAAACTCTTCATGGGATGAAAAAATATCAGGAAGAATGAAATTCAACAGTGACCAGAGCTCGGCTAAGTTGTTTTGCAGAGGTGTGCCGGTCAAGAGAAGCTTGTTTTCAACAGTCAGCCATTTCAGTTCTTCACCAATTTACATTTTGAGTTCTTCAATCTGTGTCCCTTCAAAAAGTATTACATTTTTTTTAAATAAAGAAACACCAGCACATGAGTTAGTGTTAAAACACACAAATTATACATACCTCGTCAACAACCAGGTATTTCCACTTGTAATGCCTCAATGCTCGTCGTGCATCACTCATTGCAATTTCATAAGAAGTAATGACAATAGGGAATTTAGGACCAACTGTCCTTGGCATGTGCTTTCTTATCATTTCATCCCTACATTTTTTGTCACCGTGATAAACGATTGCATCCAATGAGGGTGTAAACCTAGTACATTGGAAGAGAATATTCATCTTACATTACATTGATATAATATGTGAAAAAGAAACGAAAAGTATCTTGAGTCAATACAAGAAGTAAAAAGTAATAATTAACTACCTCTCTACTTCACTCATCCAATTTGAGAGAGTTGACAGAGGAGCAATAACCAAATAAGGCCCGTGTAATCCATTTCCTTTGAGATGTGCAAGAAAACCAATAGTTTGAACTGTTTTTCCAAGCCCCATTTGATCGGCAAGGATCCCATTGAGTCCATTTTGCCACAGTGAGATCATCCATTTTATGCCTTTAATTTGATAAGACTTCAATTTTCCACCAGTCAAGAGGGGTACCAGTTCAGCCTGCTCTTTAGCAGTTCTCTCTTCCTGAGTAAGGGTCGAATCTTCAGCAGAAACACCATCTTTAGATCTTGTAAGCATGGCTTCAACAGCTCTCTTGGCTTTCTTCTGCAGATGTATAGAAATTGTTTGGGCAAAGTGGAACTCGTAAGTGATAAACGAGACTGATAAAATCCATAAATCTTACAGACTGTACTTTCACATCTAAACTGATAGGCATAATGACAGAAATAAACCGTAAAATCAGAAATCTAAATTATAACTTCATTTAAAATAAAGGTAGAAATGAAGTATTACATTATTATAACTTGCAGCAGACTTTCTTTTCGAACCACGGCCTTTTTTGACTTCCGTAACGATTTTCTCATCATCTTCCACCCCATTCTAACATGATTAAAAAAAATGATGAAATTAGCAGAATTAGAATATCATTAAAATGACACAAATTCATGAGGAGAAAGAAACCTTCGTAATATCATCCATTTTCTCCAGCAGAAACTCGGAGTAAAGTTGGGTCTGTGATAAAAGCTCATCCAGTTTAGTGAATTGCGTGTCATTCAAGTGAGGTTCTTCTTTAGCCTTATTTCTCCTTTCTTCCTCTTCCTCTTCTTTCAACCGCTCTTCCTGTAGTTTCTTTTCCTCCTCTTCCATGGTTTCCGGAATAAGAGAACAACCTATAGTTTCAGCATCATCCTCTACCTCCGTTTTAAAGCCAATGTTTTCCTTGCAGTCCTTCAACTCAAAATAGCATCAATAATCAGCGGGGTAAAACAAAATTTAATCAAATACCAAAACTTCAAGGTATAAACTACTTCTCCATAATATTAAAACTAAACGAACACGTCAAGCAAACTAAGCCAAAGAAACTCTCCATGGTAAAATACAAATTTTTGGAAAGCACCCACATTAAATAAACATACAGTCACCGTTGCTATGCTATCGACAGAACCAAATTTCATTTTTCTTCGAACCGAAAAGAAAAAAAATGCAGTTTTCCTGAGTTTGGGTTAAGCTCTAAGAAACACATTCCTCCACCAACATACACACACGAAACAAAGAAACAGAGATCCAGTTAAGAAATCAATTTAATGTAACCTTTTTCTCTCTTACAAACAAACAGACACACAGCTTTCAAAAAACGACCGACGCAGAAAGAAAAAAGTGCCGGTAAATAGTAATACCTCTTCTTCGAGAACAGAAGTCGGAGAATCTGCTACAGCCTCGCTCTTCACTTCGTTATCAGCCATAGCGTATCTTCAAACCCTAGGTCACAAATATAATTTTTTTAAATCAAAATTAAATCACACAAAAATATAATAATTAAAAAATTAAATCCCTCTCCACAATCGCTCGCCTTCAACGGTGCATACAGAAGAAGAAATCCAACGCCAAAAAAAAAAAATCACAAACCTCGTACGACGATTTGAAACTGTACTTGATTTTTTTCGAAGATTTTCGGATTTTGATTTTTTTCTAGAGAGATGAGCCGCTTTCAAATCTCCTCCGTGGAAGCAAAACCCCAGGGAAGAATGAGAGGAAGTGCAGAAAAATGGAGAGTGTCAGAGGGAAATTCAAAAGGCTTATTTGCAGAGAGCAGTAAAATAAAATGTTAATTATTTTTTTAATTTAATGCCCATTCTATTGGGGAGGCGATGGGCGGGAAATCGAAAACTTTTTTTATGTTTGCCCTGAAAACATGGGTTAATTTCAGGAATGCCACCGCCGGTGGTGTTTGCAAAAGCTTTAATTAAAATCGGAAGTTATGGATTATGGGTTAAGTTCGTTTTAAGGTGGTGTTCGCAAATGATTATTTAAAAGCAGAAGTTAGTGATTGTGATTTAAGTTAGTTTTAAGTGCTTATTTCTAAAAGTTGGGGGTGTTTGCAAATATTTCGGAAAATGAACTAAAATTGAAAAAGCAGGGTTAGGGGTGCTTTTAAAAAAATAGCTTAAAGCAGATTATTTTAAGAGAAGCAAAAGCAAAAGTTGATTTTGCAAACACCTAAAAACAGATTACCCGCAAAAAAAACCGCATAATTACTTTCAAAAAGCATTTGCAAACACCACCCAAGTGTTTATTTCTAAACATTGGAGGTGTTTGTAAATTTAATTCAAAATAAACTTATATAGAAAAAATAGGGTCGTGGATGCTTAAAAAAGTATAGCTTAAAGTTGCGTGTTTTCAGAGAAGAAGCAAAAATTGATTTTGCAAACACTTAAAAGTAAATTATGAACAAAAAAAACTCATAATCTATTTGTATAAGCCTGCAAGTATTACATAATGGTGGATAGTTCTTCGAATTTCTACGTAAATTCTCACGTAAAACAAAATTTATTTATGGTAATGTGTGTTTGTTCTAACAGGCAGAACTAACTATAAGACCGCATGAGTTGGTGTCCTTTTCTTCTGATGGGAAACGAAGAATTCCCTTGTAGATGCAAAAGGTTCGATTTTCATAAATTCGATGTCAGTTTCTAATTTGAACCATGTTTTTTAAGTTTATTATCGTATTTTATTGGATACTCAATTTTAAAAAGTTCACGGCCAATTTTCAGTATGTCAATTTTTAGAAGTTCACATCCGATTTACAAACGTTCACTATTGAACTTTATGAGTTTAATAACATATTTTGTTAAAAACTCCCTTTTTAGGAGTTTATTGCCAATTTCCATAAGTCTACTACTATCATGTTTTGTGTTTCTTCAGAAAAACGTATCCTAAATTGTAGCTAGTTTTGGACTTCTTTGAAAAGATAAAATAATGGCTTTTTTTTTTTTTTTTTGATAATTTATAAAATAATGGCTTAATCCTACTTTGCACCCTTGGATATAGTTTTGTAGCACTTTGCACTTTAAGAATGAATTTTTTTCAAGGGTGTAAAGTGTCAAAATGCTACATTTCAAGGGTGCAAAGTGAAATTAAGCCATAGAATAATTCTTTATTTTTTGCAAAAAAAGAAAAAAAAAAAAGAGATGTATTTATTAAATTAAAATATATTTTAGGCAAATTGCACTTCACCCCTAAAAAAAGTCATTTTTGCACTTCTCCTCTCAAAATAGAAAAATGAGACTGTCCCCCTTCGAAATATATAACTCGGTGCCATTTGCCCAAAATGTGTATTTCCTGGCTAAGTCTCACCGGATTTCAGTAATTGGGATAAGACTATAAATATCATTTGACCATCTTCCACCCCATATTGCCGTTGGGGCTCTCTTTTCTCTCTCAAATCGAATAACCCAAAAAACATAGGGTTCTTCTTTTCTCGTCCCAAAATCAATTGAATCAGCAGACAACAACCAAGTATTCTCTATCGATTGTTCAAACGATTTCTCAAACTTGACAATTTGGTTCATAATTTGTACATATTCCTTTGATATTTTGTCTTTTGTTCTTAATATTGGGGGAACTAGAGTTGCGAAGAATTGTGGGTAGCTCTTCTCCATCGATATTTTTGTCAATTTGGAAAGTGAACATTGTGGCTTTAGGAACCCTAAGTAACTTAGTAGTAAAAGTGGAAAAAGTAAAATGACACGTACACCCTTAATCCGGCGATAATTAGCTCAAAAATACGCATTAAGGGCAAAGTGCACTAAATTATATATTTCGAAGAAGAAGAGTCTCATTTTTCTATTTTAAGGCGGAAAAGTGCAAAAATGACATTTTTTGAGGGGCCGAAGTGCAATTTGTCCTATATTTTATATACTAAGATTATTCCACGTCAATAGTTTTGGACCAAGTTTGGGGATAAGGAGGGAAAGTGAAACGTGACAAGCCAAAAAATTTGAACTTGTTGAAAAACTATTAACTAACTTCCTACCAAAATAAGAGGTGTTTTTTAAGAGACAAACAACCTTTTAAAAAGAAAGAGAAAGAAACATATAACCTTTTTAATAGGAAGGCAAATGTGTTAGAAGGTAGCTCTTTGGTAAAGATTATGGCAACAAACACAATCCCATAATTTCTCCATCCCTTTTTTTTTTCTAAAATTTCAGGTAAACGCAAACATGGGAAAAGATCGTCTTTCGTAATCGAATCTCGATAATTAAAACCATCTGCATGAGAATTTAAAAAAAAAAAAATAGGTTTGTTGGATATATAATTGTGATCCAGAGGGATTCATTTTTCTTTTGTTGGTTGGGAGAAGGTGTGGAGATTTCGGGGGCATGTTAGGTTCGAAGATATTTGTCCGTAAGTTCCACCGGATATGGCTTCATTCTCCCCGACACAGCTCCGGCGGCCGTGGAGGGCAGATTCCGGGTACCTTTTCCGGCCAACTTAAACCCTCCCAAGAGCTAGTGCCCACCCTCCCCGATCCTTCCTCCCCGAAGGCGGAATCCTCCACCCAC